AGTACCATGAACTGCCAAAAGAGCAAACTAATTTATGTTGGAAGAAGTTCAGCCAGAATGGTCCTTGGAAGTCCGGCGACTTCATCTTTCATACTTTGGACATGTTGTTAAGAGGGACCAGTCACTGGAGAAGTGGAGGGATGGAGAAAAAGAGGAAGACCTCTGAGAAGATTGATTGGCGCAGTGGCAATGGGCTCAGGCGTTGCAACGATTGTGAGTTTGGCACAGAACTGGGCAGTGTTTCATTCTGTTGTACATAGGGTCTCTATGAGTTGGTATGGGCTCAATGGCACCTAACAACAATAACAACTACCACAAGGAGTTGGAATTGATTCTATGGCACTTAACAACAACAACCACCAAGGAAAGACAAAGGCACAAAGTGGCACAATGGGTTAAGAATTGGGCTGCTAGCTAAAAGGTTGGTTGTTCGAACCCACCAGCCACTACATAGAAGAAAGATGAGGTAGTCTGCTACTGTAAAGATTTACTGTCTTGGAAACCCTGTGGGCACAGTTCTATACTATGTCCTATAGAATTCTTATGAGTCGGAACTGACTTGATGGCAGTCTCTTTGGTTTGGAGTTTAAGAAAGAGAAGAAGGCATTGGCTTTGTGGTAGAATTCTCGCCTACTACATGGGAGACCCGGTTTGATTTCCTGCCAATGTACCGCGTACACAGCCTCCACCTATGTGGCAGTGGAGGTTTCTGTGTTGCTATGATGCTGAACAAGTTTCAGGGGAGTTTCCAGATGAGGACATACTAGGAAGAAAGGGCTAGCAATTTACTTCTGAAAATCAGCCAGTAAACCCCAGTGGGTCACTATGGTGCCAGAGTGACCAGGCAGCATTGTGTCCTGTTGTGTATGAGGTCACTGTGATTTGGGCTCTGATTCAACAGCAGCTAACTGAGGCCATCAGCTTGCTCACCACTATCTGGAATTTGCTTGTTTTAAATTAATTATCTGATTTGATCTTTTATAAACATTTACAGTACCCACAGATTCACTTGCATAGGTCAGGTTTCAAAGCATTGAAGGAACAGGGCCAATGTGTAACTAAAATCTAGGACATTTGTTTTCTAGCAATCTGCTAAACCTCAAGGGACAGGGAACTGTTAAATTGTTTTAAAAATGAAGGAAGTGCAATGAATTTATAGACAAAATGAAGTGGAAAGCTGAGTGTAAATGAGATGAGTAATCCATCTGAATAATGCCAATTTCTGGAAACTAAATTGAATGCTAGGAATAGTTGCTGAACACCTTTGTGTGTGTGTGATCTCTTATCATCTTGCATATTCTTTCCACTTCAGGTCAATAAATTAAAGTAAGCTAATATTTTTAGCTAAGGAATTAGCTAAACATGTTTTTGCACTGTACTTTGTAGAACAAGTAACTTCAATCAGAAGAGAAATAAAAAGCAGTTTTATTCTTGTTTAATTTCACAAAGTACCTTTCAGAGGATGTTCCCATTTTCCAGAACCTTTAGAAACTAAATATAAAAATAAATCGTTTAGGAAAGAAAGGCAAAAAATAATGTGTGGAATTGCATTTTAATCTATTCTGGTTGACTGGATGGCATAGGACAACAAGGACAATGACAATGATAGGGGCTTTCAGAAGCCCAGGCTCAGTGAAGGGAGTCATGGTTGAGTGGTAGAAGTCTTACCTTCCATGTAGGAGACCTGGGTTCGATTCCCTACCTGTGTACCATCTACTTTCACCACTTGTCCATCTGTGAAAGTGTGTGTGTGACTATGATGGCGAATAGGTTTTGGCTGAGCTTCCAGACTAAAATGCATCAGGAAGAAAGGCCTGGCAAAGTACTTCCACAAATCAGCCCCTGAAAACCATACCATAGGAATCACAGACTTGTGATCCTTAGCTGATCATGGGGATAGTGCAAGACCAGGCAGTGCTTTTTCCTCTATTGTGCATGAAGCTGACATGATTCGGGGACTGGCACGATGGCACCTACCAACAATCTGGAAGGAAGAACATTTGGAGTAACAGTAAGCTCAAAGCTTCCCACTCTGCACAGCCAGGCAGCTCTAAGGAGGGCCCCCATCTCCTTATTGCATCTCTCTGCATGGGTCATGATGAAGACCCAGTAGAACAATGTAAAGAGCAGGATGGTAAACTGCCTCGCCTGCATATTTGCTGTTCACTCTTTTGTGGGTAAAACAAGAAAGAGTAGACATCCGTTTGCTGGCTGACTCTCACTCAAGCACAGTATCTATGGGACATCACTGACTCCATGGACCAGCAGCTTTCCACAGCGACAGCCCTGCATGACTGCCACTCACCTTCCGCAGGGTGGTGATGGGCACTGTCAGATCCTGAGTTGTCAGAGAAAGATTGGCTTATGTCTATTCTAGTCTTCATCCTAGGGCTGGATGACGAGGACATTGGAGAAAGCTCTACAACACAGCAAAAATGCAAAATGGTTTCTGGTCAGCTGCCTGTCATTAATGGGAAAATGAAATCGACCACGAGAAATCATTCCCCAAGCAGCCTGGTTATTCCAGATTTTATTATATTATCATTAAGGGTTAGAGCTGAGTGTCTTTATGCAAAAGAGTAATTTGCTGATTTTGTTTTTTGAGTGTCTTAAGTGGTAGAACTCACTTAGGTGGACTATTAGAGAACTTGGAACAGGATGCTCCATCTTTGAGCACTCTCTTGTTGGCACTTCAGTCTTTGTACAAAGATCTCCTCAGTCCCTTCTATGTGCCTGGCACTATTCTGAGAGCTGAAGAGAAAGCAGTGGGGGAAATAGACAAAAGGTCCTCATGTTGCTTACGTGTTGTTGTTGTTACTAAGTGCAGTGGAGTCAGTTCTGACTCACAGCAACCCTGTATGGTGTTTCCAAGGAGCGGCTGGTGAGTGAACTGCTGACCTCACAGTTCAAACTGACCTTGCTGTCTAGTGCTTACCTTACAGCGCCACACCAGGACTCTGAGAGAAGGCAAAGCAACACCAGTAACAGTTCCTGTTTTGTTGATTCCGCCTCATGTCCATCCCATAGGTGTCAGAGGAGAACTGCATTCCATAGGGCTTTCTTGACTGTTACCTTTTGGAAACAGATCCCCAAACCTCTCTTCTGAGATGCCTTTGGATGGGCTCAGACCATCAACCCTTTGGTTAGTAGTCAAGCAGTGAACCCCCCGGGCTCTCATGAGGGTGCACAGATAGTACACAGGTGTGGTTGTAGTTGTGTGCTGCTGAGTTGGTTCCAACTTACAGCAACCCTGGAGAAAGTTTGAAACATTAACCTTGAGGTTAGTAGTCCAGTGCTTATTCTACAGCACCACACAAGGGCTCAATAACAAATAAATCCTTACAATATATAGTTAGTGGAAAGGCGGAGGTGTGGTCGGGACCCACAGAGAAGGACAGGCAGATGGCAGGGAAGGCTTTGGGGAGGAGGTGACAGTTAAGGACAGATCTGAAGGAGGTGGTAAGTTCATTGTCTGTCTTAGTCTCCAAGTGGTGCTGTAACAAATAATGCAGTGGGTGACTTCAAAGACCAGACTTGTATTTTCTCACAGTTCAGGAAGTTACACATTTCAGGCCTGGGTCTAGGGGAAGGCTCTCTCTGTGGGCTCTGGGGGAGATCTTTGTCTCTCTCAGCTTTGGTAGCCCTCGTATTTCTCTTTTGCTTGATAATCTTCATGTGACACCTGCCTTCCCAGTTTGTGCTTCTTCTGTGTCTAATTTCTTTTTAGAATGACTCAGAAAAGTGGTTATATTTATGACCCACTCTACACTGGCATAAGGAGCTCTGGTAGCATAGTGGTTACAAATCAGGCTGCAAACCGTAAGGTCAGCAGTTCGAAACTACCAGCTGTTCTGTGGGAGAAAGATGAGGCTTTCTGCTCCCACAAAGATTTACAGGGCCGCTATGGGTTGGAACCGACTCCACGGCACATAACCACCACCTACACTGACATGGCTTCATTCACATGACAACAGAGTTGCTGTCCCCAAACAGGATATGTTCATAGATACAGGGCATAGGGTCCCAACTCATATCTTGAGAGGACCCAATTCCATCCATATTGGAGTCTTCACCTGTCTGAGGACTAGCAAGGAGGCAGTATGGCAGGATCTGGGTCGCCAGAGCTGTGGTCCCACAGGGGAGGGAAAGCAGAGTACAATGGGCAGCCTAGTAAGTCACCAAAGGACTTTTTAGCTGATCTTCACATTAACCTGGGAAGTCATCTGAGGTTTAACCAATGTATGTTGTTGTTAAGTGCCATTGAGTTGGGTCCAACTTGTAGCGACCTGGTATAGAATTTCCAAGGAACAGCAGATGAGCTTGAACCACCAATCTTGTGGTTCAAACTGACTTTGCAGTCCAGCACCTTAGCCAACAGTGTCATACCAGGACTCCAATGTATAGAAAGAATTTAGTAAATCTTGTTAAAACAACAAAAAGCAAGTGACAGACTCAGCATCTTGTGTGCGGTCATTGATGTCTTATCTTTATCTCCATATCGATAGCTAAACTAAACCCACATCTTTACCTCAGTCTTGATGGCCAAAGCTGGCAATTGAACCACATTGTGATAAAGAGGCTTGTTGTTGTTAGGTGCCATCTAGTCAGTTCCGATTCATGGTGACCCTATACACAACCGAACAACACACTGTCCGGTCCTGTGCTGGCCTCACAGTTGTGATGTTTGAGCTCATTGCTGTTACCACGAGATGCAGTCCATCTCATTAGAGGTCTTCTTTTCCTTGACTTTCCATTGTCCCGAGCAGTTCTAGGAACTGGTCCCTCCTGATAATATGTCTGAAATATGATAGAAGTCTTGCTATCCTGGCTTCTAAGGAGCATTCGGGTTGTACTTTTTCCAACACAGATTTGTTTGTTCTTCTGGTGGTCCACAAAGAGGCTTAGTGCTCTGTTTGAAATCATTAGCTTTATTTAAGGAACATGGGAGTGACAAGGCATGACGATAATAACTACCTTCAAATGTGACTTTCTTGTTCTAGTTCTTTGGCCAATAACCACATCAAAGCCCTCCCAAGGGATGTCTTCAGTGATTTAGACTCTCTGATTGAACTGTAAGTAATGAAAATTATTAAGTTTCTGCGTACTGTCATTGTGTTCCAGTTGACCATGGTTTTAAACGTTCCTCCTTCCACCCCACCCCCACTTACTACAACTAAAATTCTTACCAGAGTAGTGCATGCTGGAAGTCAGCCTAAACTGAGTGTTGTGTTGGGTGTTGCTATTTAATAATATACTTAGTACCATTAGGTTAATGGTAAATGAGGCTGGCTGCTTCCCTAAGATAGTGGGTCTGTCTGCTTTGTTTTGTAGCATTTGTCACTTCCTTGGTGGACATAGTTTAACAAGATCTTATGGTTTCAGTTGTGTTTGTGAAAGCTATCTTCCTGTGTTGTTGTTGTTGTTATGTGCATTCGAGTCAGTACTGATCATAGCAATGTTATGCACAGCAGATTGAAACACTGCCCGCTCCTGTGCCAACCTCACAATCGTTGCTATGGTTGAGCCCATTGCTTCTGCCACTGTGTCAATATCCTGGTGCTATCTGAGAGTGCCCCGCTGCTATTCATAAGGTTTCCATAAGTGGCTAAACATTTAGAAGTTGTTTGCCTCTTCTCCTTCCTAGTCTGCCTTTGTCTGGAAGCTCATCTGAAACCTGTCCACCATGGGTGACCCTGCTGGTATTTAAAATACCGGTGGCATAGCTTCCAGAATCACAGCCACATGCAAGCCACCACAGCACAGCAGACTGTGCTATTCCTGTAGCATTCTGACTGTGTTTAGGAGAACCTGTGTCAGTGTACCTTACTGTCCCCCCTGCCCTGCTTTCAGCCTGACATGGTACCACTCTTAAGGGAGTTTGGAGAGATGGAAGCTCTCAGTATTGACAGCTGTCTGTTTGCCATCCTGTTAAACCCTTGGGTACCAATGCAACGACAGGAGCATGAATGATAGCCCATAACAAGTACAAGAAATAGGATGCCTTGAATACAAACATTTTTTAAAGGGATTTTGGTTTTCTTTGGATACTAAATACAATGGGACTTCAAAAAGCACGTGGGAAAACATTCCATAATCTTTTAACTATTTTTTCCACAAAGTTTTCCAAGTCCCCTTGTATACTAAGATGTGAACCCTTTTGGAGTTTTGCATGACTGACAAACGATCTTCAACGGGTCTGTTTCTTTGCATGTGTTGTGTTCTGTTTTATAGAGATTTAAGGGGCAATAAATTTGAGTGTGACTGCAAAGCCAAGTGGTTGTATCTATGGTTGAAGATGACAAACTCTACTGTTTCTGATGTCCTGTGTATTGGTCCGCCGGAGTATCAGGAAAAGAGACTCAATGATGTGACCAGCTTTGACTATGAATGTACAACAACAGGTATTTAGAACCTAGGCCATCAAAGGCCACTATTTAGAAGAATCGTTTTGTTTTTTCATTTATGCTGTCAATGGGGCATGGAGAAAAGTAGACATAAAAGTTTTCTTTTAAAATTATTTGCGCAAAAGGTAAGTAGTCCAAAAGAAATGAATAGAGGCAGTAAGAAACTGGCACCAGCCATTGGGAAGGTTGTTTTTGATACCTGCTCTGACTTTGATTTTGATGTTTTACAAAATTCAAATTTCTGTACTGATTATTTTGCCCCAAGGACAAAGCACAAACTCCTAAGTTTGGCAACAAGAACATTCCCATACCAGTCTTTAGTGGTGGTGGTGATGTGCTGTGGGGTCGGTTCTGACTCAGTGACCCTGAGCAGGGTTCCTTCAGTACAGAGGCCTTGTTCTTATTCTGTTTTCATTATTATTTTGACTCAGAAAGCTGAAGTGTATTGACCATTTGACTCGAATCCATAATCACTTTTTTAGGTCCACGTAAACTGGGATAACTAGGTACCATAACCAGTGTGTGCAGACAATATCAATGACTAACAAACGGTCAAAAGGAACACAACTTACACTGAGGTGACCAAGAAAATTCAATTTTGCTTTCTTGAACCAGCTTCAAAGTTTCAGATTATACCTGTTTCAGGTTATAAGATAAAATCAAAATATGAACTCCCTCAAAGAGCACAACTTCATAGAGCAGGTGAGAAGTTGCAAGGGCATTTTCAAGAGCTTCTGAAACCAAGTTTTAAAGGAGCTCTGGTAGTATAGTGGATTACAAACTGGGCTGCGAACCGCAAGGTTAGCAGTTTGAATCTACCAGCTGCTCCTTGGGAGAAAGATGAGACTTTCTGCTCCCTTAAAGATGTCTGTCCTCGAAAACCCTATACAGGGTTGCTGTGAGTCAGAACTGACTTGATGGC